CTTAAAAAGTAATTGAAGGTAGGCGTATTGGCATACTCTCTTCCCTTTGCATGTATAGTGAGTATTGACATAACTGGCAGAGATTAATTCCTTGTGTAATGTAACTACTGCACAGTTCTTGAAAATAAATTTATTAGACATAAGCTACAAATGGGATTAAACAAGTCTGGCAATAAAAACAAAAATTTCGATTGAATCTCTGCCATTGTAAATTTTATTGAAATATTGCAAAACATTTTGTTGTACCTTATCGCATAGTACGATTGTAACAAGTAATAAGAAAAATTTGTAAAAATTAAGTATGGTGTAGAGATGGCAATGCTAAAAGTACAGAAATGAGGTAGTGATAAATACACAAAACTATACAAAAATACAGATTTGGCTACTTATGTGGTGATTTTTGTATGGCTTTGTGTATTCATCCCTACCTTGTTTGTGTACTTTTTTGCATTGCCATCTCTACATCATACTTAATTTTTGCAATTTTCTATTACTTGTTTCCCCTATGTTTTTAAACAATTTCATTGAGGTAGGGTTTTTTTTTTATAATTCAATGGCAATATATATATTGTTAATATTATATCACTTTCGTCAGTTTATCTAATTTTGGATTACACTGGGAGCCAGTGAAGTTGAAATGGTTCCTCCAGGATAGTCCAAGTACCCCCGAGTGCTGGACAGATGTTAAAGAAATATTTACAGACCTCACGCCTTCCGACTTCACCCCAATTCAATGCATGTGCAAACAATCAACTCCACCACATGGTAGGGCCATGTCTATTAATATGGAGGACATCATACAGATTCCAGGCTATGAAGTATGATACCAGGCATACAAACACAACTGCCGGGCTCGGCACAACTGACATTTTGAAGAAAGAAGGAATGAAAAGTGGCATTTCAATCCAGTCAAGAATTGGCGGGCTACTCCTTCTCTACAGCCAGAAGATGTCACTAGGTAAGCATGGAAAACAAAAGACGGATTATTAAAAGGATGTAATCATATTGGAGGTCAAAGAGTAAGGATAGATCTGACATGAAGTCACTGAACGAAATCTGAAACGTGAGGTATGAGTGATCCAAGCTAGGTACTAGGTCTACATGAGGGCTATCTGTGCTGGCCATCTCTAAGTAAGCAGTGAAATATTAGAGGGAAGGCAGCTAGTCATTACCACCCACCGCCAACTGTTGGGCTACTCTATTACAAACGAATAGTGGGATTGACCATCACATTATAAAGACCCGACAGCTAAATGGGCAAGCATGTTTGATGGGATGGGAATTCGAGCTCCCAATCCACCTGGCCAGGTCTACATTGGAAGTGGTGTCCATGAGGAAGTGAATCGGCATCATAAATATAATCCAGGAGGTCAATCAGTGGGTGGCCAACATGCTCATGATCATCAGAAGGAAGTAACATAACATGCAGTTTCAAGAGATGCTCCATTGGAAGAATATATCAGAGAGGCTGGTAGACTGCATGCACAAGAGCAAAAGCAAAAAAGAGCATTCTGAGTACTGAAACAACTCCGTACATAACAAAGCAGAAGATTACGAAAATGAATGAGAATCTGGGTAAAGCCAATACAATTATAAAGGTGATTACATGTACAGAACATCCAGATTAGAAAGGCCAAACATAGTGCATACATTACAAAAAGTGCACAGGATGGTAAAAGGAAAATGTAGCAGAAATCAAAATTTGAAGAAAATGACACTGCTATATAATGACTTGTTTGGGTAATTAAGAAACATATACATAGATCTATCAATTACACAAATGCTTGATCTCCTTGATACTGGATGTTAATTTAGATTATTCTTTCTTTCTTTATTTATTTTTACTGAATTGTTGTGGCAAATATCATGTTTGCTTATGAAATGTCACAAACGGTCCTTATATAAGAACAAGTTGTGCTGCCATCTAGTGACCAAAAATAAACCGTTATTTATGAAACATGGAAATAATTTATGCTTATAAACAGAACTCGCTGTTAGTACTTTTCCTTTTATTATTTCCTCATAAAATACATACGGTAGAATAACAGAATAATATTACTGTTATACAAACTGTTATATAATCGACTTCTGCATAGCCTCTTGCCTTTCTTCAAACTCCCGATCACCAAATAATATCGCTTTTACTATGATAACAATTCTAGTTTAGTACGAATTTGTTTCTTATGTTTTGGCTATGTTTGGGCTTACTTAAGAGTCTTTTAAACTGTAAACTACGCTTATCAACGTTTTTATACAATTTATTTTGCATTTCAAAAACTTATTCATATTTATTTTAACTGCAGTAATAGTTCAAACTATCTTGTACACGCCATTACAAACTCACAATGTACTATTTGCATTTTCAACAATTTTAAAAATATTCCAAATGTTCTGGAGCGAAATAAAGAGAGAGACACCTGGCAGCCATTCATTAACATATGTTACGTCAGTTTTATTAACGGTTTTAATCTAAATATTGCGAACAGACTAAAAAATCACGTCATTGTTCGTCTGTTCTTCGCCAAGCATAATAATGTTTTCACCATAATATTTTTGCTTCCTTTACAGAAGGTTTGGTGCGTTATATTAAAATAATTTTTAATATGCAAATCAGTAAGTCACATGACCACTCAACTGATGTGGAGAGGAATATATCAGAACTACATTTCAACATTGAAGGTAGTGTGATTTTGATTTGGAGAAGGGTATGTAACATTCCTTCTGACGAAAAATATTCATACAATCACATCACTAAGATGTACTGAGAGCGGGGATTTAGAATTTCCTTGTACCTAATGTAATTGAAAAACAAAGGAATATTGATCACCTTGGGGCACTAGTACCATACAGAAAGAGACATGTAAGGAGTGATAACAAAGCCACGGTAACCAAAGTGCGGCGCTTTGTAACACGTTAGAACTCACGAACACAAAGGTCAATGACAAAAGCCGTCAACGTGTCAAAGGCAACAGTATGTAACGTAATGAAGAATAATCTCCATATAAAAAAATGACACGAGTAACGTGTACAGAAGCTGCTTCCACGATATATCCGTTCAAACGTCGCATACCTCAAGCATCTGGAGAATTAAATGGGTATTCATGCGACTCCAAACAAAGACATATCTGTCAAGACACCGAATGAAGAACCTATGGATTTCTGTGCAATTGGATTGTTGCAACGGGCGCTGGGAAGCCATCGTCCTCGTAGTGGTGTGCGTTGAACATGACGGCCTTACGACGGAGCATTTGCAATGGAAACTACCCTGCAGGGCTATTGGTAAGAATCATGGTCGTCAGGTAGAAAATGACCGGGCGTGGTGAGGCTTCAAAATTGTTTTAACATTTTCAACCTCCATATATATACAAAATACTTCTAAAGATGAGCACTGAATCAGCACTTAACACTTTTCGAGAAATGAACTCATCAAACAATACTTTTTTACGAAATAGTTTGAATCATATCAATAAACCTATTTCGATTCCTCTCTGGTTTCTTTTTTTCACTGGTCATAATGAGAACAATTAAAACTTTCGTTTAATAATAACACATATGCAAGTAAAAATAACGTTTTGTATCTTAGAGATTCCTTAGTTTTAGCAATCATTATTTCAGGTAAATTGTACTGAATGTAAGATTTGAAAACTGTGCAATACTGACAACTATGTTTAAAAGGTTACATCTTGAAATTCTTGATTCCTTCAGACCCAAATATCTCGTATTTCCAAAATGCATTTTATGTACATGGCATCTTTTCTGTAATTAATAAAACCATTGGCGACATATTTAAAATTACACGGTAACATATTAAATCTCACCACCATGAGAACACATACACTGCAGATTACTAACCACTAAAACTCATACACTCACCTACAGATAACAACGAACTCAATACAAAGAGGTTTTATTCCATCTAGTAAACACGATTTCAGCCTGATCGAAGTCATGCATGCTGTGATTATAGTGCCCTGTAATAAATTACACAACACTTGCTAAGGGACTGAGGCAACTAACTACATGGAGCTTCGTTTCGTTGAGTACTGTTATTAACTCATTTTCGAAACGTTCATTTGTATCAGGGAAACAAATGAAGCACCTATAAGATAACACTGGCCTCATGTAATGCTGTTACAGATGCATTCATCTAAAAGAATAAAGATTTGATTAGAACAGTCTGGGTGACAATAATTTATCGATAAATCACATATTTATGGATAGGCAATAAAAAACTAATATAGAATAAAATATTCTCTTTTAATTTATTTTTTATATTAAATGTTAGCGCAACAATTGCACATTACATTTTGTACGACTTAACTCACATTATTTTAAACTTTTGAAACCGACAATACTTTTCACGAAAAAGACAATTGGCGCAATGATGAGTATCAAAACATTTTGAATTTTGCCTAATTTAAGCAACTACAGTGTGATGATGTGGAAAATAAAATCTCTAAGCCAAGTGTATATATTTAACCTAATAGGCGAGGAAAGCAAGTGTATGTAAAGTATATATTTTTAAAAGCTGGATGGATAATGAAAACGAAACAGGGTACAAAATAATATCGATTTAATGAAACAGTAAGTCCCGATGCAGCAAATTCAGCCTTATTAAAATGTTTTTTATTGATAGTTTTTTGAATAATCTCATCTGTGGAGTTTCAGTATCATAAAAGCAAATAAGTTTCAAGACTGTCTACAAATTAATTTGACATTTTACAATACTCCCAATAATAAGTAAATTATGATTATTTTAAGTCAAGTTATATTTAGTGATAAATACACTATCTGTTAACAAATTTCTTAAATTAGTATACCAACTTAATACGAAAACCGTTCAAGTCGGCCAAAAGTACTGACAAGGGACGACAAATGTTCGTTTGAGAGTACTGTTAAAAAAGAGCGCATATCATCATTGCAACGTAATCACTGTGAATTTCATACCTCCAATGAGCATGTATGCGCTTCACTTAAAGAAGTTGGAATATCCAGCGTGAACGATAATTTAACCCTAATAATACATTTTACAAGTTTCTAAGTAAATTCTACATACGAGTCTGGAGGTTTGCAGGTTAACAACTCGATCAGGGGACTTGGAAAAGTCAAAAATTAAGATTGGGCGGAAACTAAAGGAAGTAGTTTGATTACGTGAAGTGCTTTAGTCTATGATATTACCACGTCTCGATTTTCACTTCATAGGTTCGTATGGACGGAATTCGGCTGGAATCTTGAACTAAATAACTGGCTGGTAAAGCTCAGAATTTTTTTAAGAGTAATTTTTGTTAAAATATCAGACTATAATTTATAAAAAAACCTTGAATTATATTATCTGTTTTCTTCTCCGAAATCAATTTTTTTTTACTTGATTAGCAAAAAATAAGTTATGTTTAGAGATTCAAATTTCTCCCTGCCACTGCATTACACTTTTCTCTTAATCAGTTCTGTAAAACATCAATGTATATTTTTAATATCATCTTTAGAATTTTATGTTCAAACAACGTCTGATGGTAACCCTATACTTACTGTATCATTCAAACCATCTTGTTATCATCGCAACAATCTACCTTAGACATTTCTCAGAAATTTATGTAAGTGTTAGAAAATATTAGAATTTTAATAATTCTCTTCTGATAGGCTAGTTCTCACTGGGAAACGACTTACAATGGATTTTATTCTCCCTTTATCTGCATAATTAGATCAACAGTTTCTATTTAATTCGTTTTAGATTTCCGAACCAATCATTTTACATTTTTTTTTCATTTGAAATTCTAGTCGTTCTGATTCAAGAAGTTTACACTTTGAAATATTACATGAAAATACTTTACAAAAAATTCAGTCCTCTACATAAGACATATTTGTCACAGAGATCTCAGTTACTATATCAATATGTACCACAAGTTATGCTGTTATATATTTGTGTATTTATGTACAATGAAATATTTTTTGACATTATATTTTCAAACTTAATTCTTTCTGTAGGAATGATAAAACTTTTAGTTTGAGACATTCTTTATGCAGTAAATTTGAGATGCATTCCTTAAACCAAGCATAAATGCAAGCACAATTATTAAGAACATAGTAAACGTTATATTTCTTTTTTAGTCAGTTTAAGTTACAAAAAAGTTAATCAGGCTCAAAGCTGGGAGATCATAATTCTATATCGTACTTCATAATTTAAGATAAACGTATAATCCTCTCCTATCGTTAACGTAAGCAGAATGAGCTCACGTAATAAAAAGATACTTAATACACTTAGTACCTAAAAATATAAATCTTGTGATCGGATGTAAAATAACAACGGAGGAAAATCGCAAACATTATTATTTTGCATTAAAGTAAGTTACGGTGACTTTCTACTCAGGTTACTGAAAAATTTCATACTCAGCGATATAAAATGACTTTGCTCTATATTGTCGTCTACAGCAGGAGCTCGTGTAGGAGATGTTTGGGCGACGGTATCGTTGCAGTGCTAGCATCAACTACTAACCAGCTTATATTTTATTCATAATAAGATACTTAGTGCATTATTACTAGACTTCCTCTACTTATAAGCATATTCCATTATATATATTGGCTCAATTAGGATTTATAAGTTCTAGAAGACACTTCAAGTAAGTTTAAAGAAATGTTAAAACGTAAGTGAATTTAAAATGAAGAGCACAAATTAAATTTCGAACTAAATTCGTGAACTTTTGAGTGATTTTAAGTACAGTTACCAAGCTCTGAAGTTTCTAATACTTTCTGATCACGTGTTTGTAAAGAGCAGGTTAGTTAACGTTCGTGATATTTAAAGAGAACAAAGTGGATTATGGTTGATTTCTATTGGACAGCTAAATGATAGAAGTATATGCTTAATTTGAAGATTTCTGTGTTTACTGCTCCTATATTCTAGTATTAACTGTTCGTGATATTTAAAGAGAACAAAGTGGATTATGGTTGATTTCTATTGGACAGCTAAATGATAGAAGTATATGCTTAATTTGAAGATTTCTGTGTTTACTGCCCCTATATTCTAGTAGTTAATACTCCCCTTAAAATATTTTCTTTTTTTTATTTGTTTCCCAGTGGTCAGTGATAAGCTTACAGACTTGCAACGCTAAAATTCGAGGCTCGTTTTTCTGTGATGGACAGAGCGTACCTAGCCTATTGTGTAGCTTTGTGTTAACAGTAAATAAACCTTTGTCTCCACTGGTGTCTCAGCAGTAAGTTTTCGGACTCGCAACGTTAAAACTCTGGTTTCGATTCCTCACGATGGAAAAAGAGCGCAGATAATCCCTTGTGTAGCTTTGCGTTAAAATAACAACAGCTTTTTTTATTTTTATGTTGTTTTCTCAGCTAATTCCCTTAAAGGTTAACGTCACTGATAAGCAAACATAAACAGATGCGACATAGACTCATATAACACTGTGTTACCTTTCGGTATTTAGATTTGCAAGGTGTCTCCTCCTCATATTATTATTCATCTATGGTAAATTTATGAAATGGAAATAAATTCTTTCCAATATTGCATTAAACAGTACTCTAAGAAACATTTCCAAACAACGAATCCAATTTTCCACTCAAGTAAGGATATTCTTAGCATCTTTAGAATCTAAAGGTAGATAAATAACATTTCGAGAAACCCTATAATCGTAGCATTTTCAGATGGTAAACTTTCTTTTCGAAAATATTTTGTTATCAGGGATTTATAAATGGTTAATGAATATATCCTTTTTTAATATATTATAACTAAACACACCTAGATTAACTACCCTTTCAACTAAGTCAGAGAACACTGGAGAGACTGCTTATCGTTATTCAAGTCAAATGTTAACCGTCACACTTTTTTTTAGACGTATAGCACACATAGGTAGAAAACAAACGTGTTAATACCTGATAGACTGAGACATATAATTCCCTGGGAAATACTGTGACACATAAGAAATAATACAGATTAAGCATTATATACGAACAGCTCACAAACATTTTTCTGCTTTGAAACATTAGAAAAACTACTAATGAAAAATACCCGTTACGAATTTGTGAATTATAAAACTTGGCTATCTTGCCTAAAGTATTATGGTTCTGGATTTATTGTTTTTCATTAATAGTCTGTTGAATATGTGCTCTCGCGACATGCCCTATACTAAATATTTAGGATTGTTTGTTTGTTTGTAATTAAGCACAAAGCTACACAAAGGGCTATCTGTGCTCTGCTCACCACGAGTATCGAAACCCGGTTTCTAGCAGTATACGTCCGCAGACATACCACTGTGCCACTGGGGAGCAAATATTTAGGAATTTGATGAAGTTAAAAAATTATTTGCCCCAGTTGTTCAAGATAGCAATTAAATGTAAATAAAAGTATTATAATTATATATATGTTAACAAATGCGAGTGTAAACACATAAGGAAAACTTCGGTTTTACCAAACTGCATTATATTTTAACATATATAAACTGCATCGCCATGTTGGATTAGTTTGTAGTTCAAATATATTATCATGTAGATAAAACATTTATCATTAAATCTTTGAAATTATTGCGTAAATACCTAGCAAACAAAGGTGTAGGGAGTCGACTTCACTTGATAGTCCAACAAAAGATTGCGCAAGTGCTTTAAATACAAGCGATAGCACTTTCATGTTCTCTTCTTCCTGTGTAATCAATAACATGCTTGCCTTAAACCTATGAAATAAATAATGCATTTTACCCTCCATTAGCTCTTAAGGTAGGAAATACCAGTGGAATGGCAATAAACAAACACCAACGTTACTTCATAATGCGCGCCGAGGTTCGTAAAGCGGTCGATACGTCGAACTTCTGTGAAAAATAGATTTCACTGAACCTAAAAATCCAGAAGTAACATAAAGAAAAAATAGTTTTTAGTATGTTATTATAACTGGTTTACTAATTACATGTGTAGGTTTATGTCTTAGATAAAAAAGAAATTTAGCAAAGACATGAATTTCAAAAACTAGTGATCCGAGAAAACAAAAAAACAAAAACAAATATATATATATATAATTGTGGGTGTAACACAGTGGTTAATGTGCAAGGCTACAGATCGCAAGACCCAAGGTTCAAGGAGAGATGTCTGTGTGGACCTGCTATGGATGTGATAGTCAATTCTATATGGCAACGGATGTTCATAGCTGACGGCTCATCTTCTGGTTAATACTTCAGAATTAAGAACATTTAACTCATAGATCACACGTAATGCTGTTTACGTTGATAATTCCAATTCCATTTACTTAACAGGCAAAATAGTGTAAGCTTAGCTAGACATTTTAGAGCAATTTGTTTGTGCTAACATTTATTGTAAAGCATAATTTCCTAGAATATAGTTTACCGTATACGCGTTATATGTGATTGGTAATCATTCACAATAATCGTACGTACTCACTAAAAGAGTTATACGCAGTGCAAAATACATGTCTCTTTTACCACAAAATAGTTGAGCACATAATTTGTGATTCAAGCTAGTATAAAAACAGTTACTAACGCAAGAACGGTATAGCACGCAGCTTTGTAAAGAAAAATTGCGTAGCACTCAAGTACTGATGCAAACCAACACAAACCACGAAGTTATTACTATAAAATAATATAGCACAGAAAATTACTGGAGCGAAATAGAACAACAAATAATTATTTATTTCAAAATAATTAGAGAACAGAATTCGTGAAACAGATCAATATGGAATACAATAATTGATACACATAAAAAGCACTGCGTTATATTGATATAAAGGTGTTATATTGAAAGACTTACTGTGATTTTAGGATTACGTAGAAAATCCTTAGATTGATAGTTATTTGTCTGTCTATTCTGCAGTATTGAAGTGTCTCCTTCTATAACCAGATTTTCCTTAGATTTTATTTTTCAAAAACTCAATTTTTTAAAGGTTTATGCTTTTTATGTGTCTAGGCATTCTAAGGTTTATATTAATATGTGTATTTTTATCCGATGTTCACTATCTTTATGCGCTTTTTTCTCAACAAGGACGATCTATTCTACCAAACATTTATTTAGAGATATCGACAATTCCATCTACATCATTAGCGGATTGGAGATTATAAACATGAGTCCATCTGGAGAGGACGCTGAAGAGAGTAATCCATTTAGTCAGTAAAATAATTCGGAAACATTTTTTGTTTGTTTTTCAAATGAAGTACACACGAGTGTTCACAGTGTGAGAGTTTGTTTTTAAATTTCGCCTTAGGTCATAAACATTTCGCTTCTAGAGTCTAATAGTATTTATGAGGATTAAACTAAAAACGCGCTTATAATAATCTGAAACCGAAAAAACAGTTGAGTTTTGTTTTTTATATAGTTGTCTATTTTGTAATCCCACGTATAAATATTCATGTTAATTAAATCAGTGCCTACTCTTCATGATAAAGATATAAGATAATGTTCAATTCACCCTATCAAACATTTTCTGAAAAGAAAATGTTCTTCTTGGGAGTTTGGAATGGTTAAAATAACCCTATATGGAAATTACTGATAACTTAGCTTGTCTAGCAATGGAAACTTGGACATATTAAGGCCATGAGAAATAATTCACGAATGAATAAAATCAAGTATTTAGAACAGTAAAAAATATTGACTTTCTATAAAGAATGGAAACAAATATTAAACTAACTTTTTGATTTTCCCTTAGCTCAGATTCTCTCTATATTATCTTATCCCACTACAGTAAGCAAATATTTACAATTATGTAATAACGTCTACCTGAAAAATTGCTCAAAACTTCGCAACAATAATTACAATTATTAATAGATAATTCTTAACTATGAGCAACAAGCGAACTACATAAATATGTTATGGCCACTCTATCCTTGGTCATCAGTTGGATACCCTCGCTGCTAGCAGTGTTTTCTACTTTTAACCCCAAAACCCCTAACGAGGTTCGGCCTGCTTAACTATATTCATCTATACGACCGTTCCCTAAGCAGTTCTCTTTATTACTTACAATATAACAACCAGTGCTCATTAAATATAGAGCAGTAAGATAATGCCACATGTCTTGAGCCTGCGTAGATCTTCCAAGAAATGGGTTTGCTCAGGTAAAAATTAAAATGTGGAAGCGAAAACAGCTTAAAAGGGTTAAATTAAAACATTAATATATTTACATGTTGCACAACATCTTATATCATATGCAATTATTCTTGCTTCAGAACCAGTTTTTGTGAGTCTTGATATTATAGCTCTAACAGATTGTTTTGCGAATTAGAACTGAGATCTTGGTGCAACTTAAGTTATACTGAAATAATCTCGGCTCTTTACTTGTACATTCAACCTTCAAATAGTTTATTGAACGGTTTAGTATGTCTTAAAAAACGATGAACTTTTCTCATTAAGCAAATAAAGTTTACTTAGAATTTATAGTTTATGTCGTTTACACTAAACCTAACATCATTCATATCAAACCAAGTCCTAAAAACACCTTATTGGGTCATTTTAACCCAATCAATTAGATATTGGTTTAATCAAAAATTCATTTTGTCAACACATACTTCAAATTAATATATAGTAAACGAAACATAGCTGACAAATAAAATTCATAATGTGCAAATATTAATTCAAGAGAGTTGTTTCTATACATTTAATTAACGTGTATGTAGTTGTGTTATCTATTTCTAGGCTAACAATAAAAGTCAAGGACTAGTTTATCTATTTTCGTAAGTGACGAAGACCATGTGTAAAATATTGAAAATCTGCACAACAAATAGAGAATTAATGTGGAGTATAACTTGCTATAAAATGCATCGTTAATAACAGCAATTTCACTGTACTTAAACTTAATGAGCTAAGATTATAATTAATGTTGTTGTCGTTTTCTAAGTGCAAAGCTACATAATAGGCTACCAGCTCTCTGTCCACCGCGAGTAATCCAATCCCGAATTTTAGCATTTGTATGTCTATAAACTTATCTCTGACCCGCCGGAAGACATTACAATAAATTAAAATAATTCAGTAATATTAGAAATACACAAATCTTTTGATGTGCATTCTTAGGATGTTTACATTCAATGACATAACTCTAAGTATTAAACGGACGAAAAGTTAGGTTAAACGTCACAGAATAATGTTTTACTCCCTATCCTGCTGTTTTTGAATCAGTTACAGCTGATGCTTCTAGAAAGTATTTTGAACGTAAGTTATAACTTAAAATAATGAATTGAAATGTTTTCTCTTTCCGTGACATTCATATTAAGATAATTATCATTCTAACACTTCTAATGACAGATATGTATCGTAAGCTTTTTTTCGAGATTTCAAATTCATCGAGACCAATAATTCCAATGAAAAACAACAAATTAAAAACTGGAAAGGATGGACTGTTCCACTAATTTTGAAAATATCGGTTACTGACTGAACTACCAAACAAACGTCACCAGGCAGAAAGGAATGAAATGAGAACCACTATATTATATTAAATATAACGTTACTTGGGGAAAGGTAGTGGAACTTGTTTCACCAGATCATCAACCGCAATGTCACCGTTTGGAAAAAAATGGGGCTTATTGATTTGCTCACTACAGTGTCAACCAAAAAAAAAAACTTCCTAGTGGAAGGCGACAGTCCACCATACTGCTGACCAAAACGTCATCTGGTGAAAAGCATTAGAGCCTGTTCCTCCTGTTCCATTAAACCTTCAAAGTGTAACCTGTCACAAAAAGATAATAATTTGTTCTACCATCTTTCTCGGGGGAGCTGTTTCACAATCTATTTAACGATCCCATGCTCACATTAACACATAATGAGATGAGCAACTTCATGCAGGAGGGGTTGGGAGGGGGGGGGGTCATATACCTTTATAACAACCAAATGAACACGTACGTCAGTCATCTCGTTTAAAACCTTGTTAAGTACTGAGGGAACTTTTAATAACAAAAGAAATCTATGATTTTGTATACATATAACAACTCTTAGCAAGCAAGCAAGAGGAAAGAAAACCGCAGCTTAAGGAATGAGATGCTACATTTTGATAAGCAGCGGAACGTGTAGACGTAAGTTGTTCTTTTTTTTTTTGAAATGCCGTTACTGGTATAATCAGAATCGCCATTAAATACGGTCTAAATGTGTCCAGTTTTCGTTTGAATATTTGTGTATTTTAAATTACCTGCACTGGAATAATGATATACATATTTGTTTTGTTCTTTTACAGCTACAAATGAAATTAAAGGAATTCCAGTTTCTCATTGCCCAGGCACCAGTTTTTTTCTGTACAGTTCTTATCTGAATAATGAGGAAAGCGGTGCTTCGTACATCATTAGCTTGAATATTTTGTGTCTCAAGTGCAAGCTATTTCTAAGAAATGGAATCACCAACCTACATTCTTATCGTTCTTCTGCTTCGTGGTATGTATGTTGTCATTTGTTTCACATTTCTGTATTTTCTGAAATTTCTCTTCAAGGTAATGTTGTAATAGATACTGACGAAATACTTTATAGATTTCTATTCCTTCTCAGAAATCTTAGCTAAGTATTCTATAGTAAATTGCGATACGTTTAGATAGTGTAATAAATATTTTAATTGAATCACTAATGTTTAATGTAGTTTCGTTATTGTTTTCATGTTCTGCCGACGTTTCAGGTAAATCAAAACGAATGCATGAGCTTATCATGTACAACAATGATTATTTAATTAATCTTACACAGGAAACGCTGGAAATATTTGTCAGGAACTCATACAGAAAGATATACGTTCGAAGATGTTGTTATTTATATTTCTATATAAAGTAATGCTTAAGCTGGCTCGTCGCTGCGCGTTAACAATTCCAGTCTGTTTTATATCATGCTCTGCTGAGAATGATATGCAGTCCTTTATGTTCGTAAATATATAGCATTCTTTGAACTGTAGACATTATATTATGTTGGAATCCCCAATTAAAGTGTGAACTCTACAATATCATCGTTTTAATCAGAAAACACACATACAAAAATTATAGTTTCAAAACTATATACTCAGCTGTTAAAATACCAATCACTATCTTCCTATATTAATTCAAGTTGTATGTTTGTGAATTCGCTCCTTTGGAGCTTGCAATACCAAACTTGGTAGGCGTACTAGAGGGAGGCAGGAGATGTCCTTATCTACATACCGTAGGCCCCTACCCCTTTTTATTTGAGTACTAAGATGAGCTAAAATGCGCCCGAAAGATAAGGTCACTTATGCATGATGGAGTTCTAGGAGTAGTTTTGCACGGTCGCATTGCCCGAACCTGGCATCGGATATTGTGTTCCTGGTTCCATCGGTATCCCGGAGGAGCTATTTTTTGAATCTGTGTTCATACTCCCACACACACACACAAGTTAACGAGACTAGACTTGGCACACCTGCTCTGATTACACAGGCGGGAGTTATAACTACTACTGTTTCGTGAACACAGCCCTCTTACGGAAACTATAAATAATTGTAGATATTGGAAGAACTTTACTATCACATTGGAGTCTCTTTGAACCATGCACAAGTATTCAGATAATATACAATCCAAATGACAATTTGGCTATAACTGGCAATGAAACTTGTTACTTTCAAAATGAAATACTGTAGCTAGTCTGACAGATTTTGAGTGACTAACTTTGTTGAGCTTTTTGGAGAAATTCTGTAAATTTTCTGTTGCACTTAAGTAACAGCCAATGATCCAGAACATTTTGTAATGTAAGTTATTGTAGGTCTAATAACAAAAGTTAAATTATTTTTAAACGTGTCCAAATCAAAACGTCGTCTCTGTAAATAGATAAACGTGAATGACCTTCGGCCTATTAAAACAACTGTTTCTATACACAAGTGTTTTTGTTCCAGACATTTAGTCGTTAAAAAGTTAACACCGATTAGCTCATTAAATCGCGATTCCCTAAGCAAGTTACAACTTGGACATGCATACAGTTCAAACGTCTATCTTATTTATTTCCTTGTATGTTATTACCTTTTCAGTAGTTATGTATTCGAAGTAATGCACGAACCACTCACAACATATACAGTATTTTCTCAATAAAATCCTCCCTGTTCTGTTGCTTGTGGTTAGGGCACTCGACTCGCAATCTGCGGGTCGCGGGTTCGAATCCCCGGCACACCAAACATACTCGCCCTTTCAGCTGTGGGGG